TATCGGGTGGCCCCGGGGGGCGGTTTTCGCACTTGGCCCCGGGGGGCGGTTTTCGCACTTTGGTGGTTTGTTGAACTCGGACCACCACCCCGTAGCCCCAGGCGCGCGCGCGCCCCGTGGGACTGCGTTCAATTTTTTCGCCCGCGCGCGCCTGCAGCACGTTTAAACGCAATTGAACGTGGGGCAGGGGGGGTTGAACGCGCGCGTTTGAACGTGAACGCGCGTTCCCGGCGTTCAACCGGTTACACAGGTCACAGCCCCTCGTTTGTTGTTCTCTTCTCTCTCTCTCTCTCTCTCTGCCTATGTTTTACCGGGCAGTTCTGTTTGTGATGATATATATATATATCTGTTTGTGACGATATATATATATATATTTGGTCTATTATTTTGTTTTTTTCTAAATATAATATTTTCCGGCCACGCCCGGCCGCCCGGGCCGTGGCCGACCGCAATCTGAGTTTGACCCCGTGGTCATAGGCGCTGAGGGCTGCCACCTTCACGACCCCCCGCTATTGGACTGCACATGTCCTGAGGTGTGTTAGCTCCAAAGGGCCTTCTGTAAGTTTGCCCTCTCTTTCGTTTTCGTTTCTGGTTTTTTTTTTTGTTTTTTGTTTTTTTTTGTTTTTGTTTTTTTGTTTGTTTGTTTGTTTGTTTTGTTTTGTTTTGTTTTTGTTTGTTTGTTTGTTTGTGTGTGTGTGTGTGTGTGTGTGTGTGTGTGTGTGTGTGTGTGTGTGTGAGTTTATCCTCTATGTATGGGCTGGCTGCGTAAGCACTCGTAAAAAAGAGATGGGAGTGTTTTCATTATTATGCATTTAAAATTCATAAATTTTAGAGGTGCCGCATCAGGAGTGTGCGCGCACTGAGGTTGTGAGTACATTGGAACCGTATTAACTAGTATTAACTTCTATTAAGTAGCATCATCATGCCAGTGGCTCCTGCGCATTTCGAGGCATGACTCTCATAAATATTGAGAAATCTTTCCAAGACAAAAAAAAAAAAAAGGTTGAAGCATCGGGGTTTGATTTCGTTTACTGAAACGGAAGGAATATTTATTATTGACGTGTTTGAAAGCTTGTTGCTTGATGCCGGCTGTTTAGAGTCTGAACTTTGAAGGGGGTTTATAAATTGCAAATTAAATCATTTTCTGACACATTTTGAACAGGTAGCGTCGTGAGCCGCAGGCATAGCCATTTGATTATCATAATTATGGTGGAACCAGACCCTTACCTTTCGCGAGCACTCTCAAAAGAAAAAAGGCCAATTCTGGCAGCTCTCGAAATGTTTTTCACGAGTGCAATTCCAGAGACTCTGAGCTCGTTGAGAGACAACCTACTCTCGAATTTTCTAGTTTCTACTAACTTTCTAGAGTGGTGGAGCCAGACCCTTACCTTCAGGACAAACCTTCATCATGATAGCCGATATAGTACCTGTTATGTTCCAGCAGTACCTTTTTTTTTTTTTTTTTTTAACTCAAGCAGTACCCTTTTCCCTCACTACTATAACAGCGAAAATAGTAAAATACCCACATTTTCAAACTTGTCCAGGGGCGAGGTCCCACTAGCAAAGAGGATTGTATTGAACACCTGAATCTGGACTTATTTGTGGAAACGTGCAGCATTTCGAGATTGAACTGCTTTTCCGAATCTGTGCTTAAAACACGTCCAGATTCAGGATATTTATCCAACCCTCTTTGCTAGTGGGACCTCAACCCAGCTTACAAGTTACTACCCTCAGGGTCTGCCGCTGGCTTCAGGCACTCGGGAACTCAGACTTGAGAGCAGCAAAGACCCAGCATTGGGATACCGGCCTATTCGTTTTTTTTTGTGTGGTTCATTTTTGAGTTCCTTTTTCCCAACTGGGTACACACATGAAGCAACTTTTTTTTTTTTTTTTTTTTTTTTAAAGGCCCAACCAATTCAATTACCTGTCAAATGAAGCAACTTTTTGCTGCAGTGGGTACGAAAGAGAAACAGGATTGAATTTCTAGCGTCCATTTCACGTGGAGACAGGATCATAGAGGCATCATCGGGCCTCGCTCGACTACTCTCTACATGTGCAACATGAGAGTGAATCTTTCGCTAGAACATGGAAAGATACACCTCCATCATTTTTGTCTTTTGTGCATAGCCAGGCCCCATCATCTCAGTCATAGAGCCCAAAATAGGTGCCGACTTCAGATTGGCCGTCGCATGTGACAAAGTGCCACGTGGCACTGGCATGTGCTTCAGACATTGTCAAGCATCTTGCAGCATGTACTTGACCTCCATCACGTGCGGATTCCATGGAAAAGAGCTCTTTTCGGTGGAATCCCGACATGAATTAAGGTTGGGTGCATGCAGCCAAGTGCTCAGTGTGAATGTCAGACGGACAGAGAGAGAGGGGGATGCCAAGTGGCAGAGCGCCACATGTGTTTTTGTGTTTTCGTTACACTCTCGTGGAAAGAAGTTCAAATAAGTGCACTCGCTTTTGTGTGTGTTTGTGTGTGTTTGTGTGTGTTTGTGTGTGTGTGTGTGTGTGTGTGTGTGGAATGACGCGAGTGCACTTCCGTGGCATACAAAGTGCACGTTGTCGAGTGTCTTCCCACACACACACACAGGAGCTCGCTCCACTACCTTCAACATGCACAAAAGACAATATCATGGCCGCTGTGTATCTTTCCATGTTGTAGCAGAAGATTCTCTCTCGTTTTGCACATTTTGGAGAGTAGTGGAGCCAGGCTCACAGACACACACGCAATTGCTTGCAGTTCTTTCCACGAGCGTGTAGCCAATCCACAAAAACACATGTGGTGCTCTGCCACTTAACAAGTTGGCATCTCTCTCTCTCTCTCTCTCTCTCTCTCTCTCTCTCTCTCTCT